TCATGGAAGGGTCAATGAGGTAAACTGAGTCATGGAAGGGTCAGTGGGCCTTCGAAGGGTCAATGAGGTCATGGAAGAGTCAACAGGGGAAACTGAGGCACAGAACGGTCAATGGGTCTTGGAAGGCTCAATGAAGTCAAGGAATGGTCAATGGGGTCATGGGATGGTCAATGGGGGAAACTGAGTCACAGAATGGTCAATGAGGTAAACTGAGTCATGGGAGGGTCAATGGGTCTTGGAAGTGTCAATGGAGTCAAGGAATGGTCAATGGGGTCATGGAAGGGTCAATGGGGGAAACTGAGTCACGGAAGGGTCAATAGGTCTTGGAAGGGTCAATGGGGTCATGGAATGGTCAATGAAGTCAAGGAAGGGTCAACCAAGTCATGGAAGGGTCAACAGGGTCATCGAAACGTCAATGAATCGCTCGACAAGAAACTCCAAAAAACCTCAAAAAAACCCCAAAAAATCCCCAAAAAAATCTCAAAAAACCCCCAAAAATCCCCCAATCTCCCCCCAAATTTCACCTTGATGGTGCTGAGGTCCATGGGGTGCTTGATGATCTCGTGGTAGTCGTGGAGCCCCAGCGCCGAGGCGTCGACGGGTTTGTAGAAGGGCCAGGCGTAGGCGGCGTGCTTCTTGGAGAGCAGCTCCTTGAGGATCCCGTTGCAGTACTTGAGCTGCTCCGAGAGTTTCCCTTTCTTGGACGTTTGGTGCTGCTGGGAATCGGGCAGGTCCTTCCGGGGCGGTTTGATGGGACGGCCGCTCTCGCGCCGCGCCGGGATTTTGGCGGATTTGGCGTTTTCGGCGCCGGGCGGCGAGGATTCGCCGGCGGCGGCGGCGGCGGCGGCGGCGGTGGTGGCGATGATGGCCGTGGTGGTGGGAGTGGTGGTGTCGGCTTTCCGCTTCACGCCCTTTTTCTGGGAAAAGAGGGGTTTTGGGTTTTTTTTTGGGATTGGGAGGTTTAAAATTTTCCAAAAATTCTCCCCAGTTTGAGATTTTTAAAAAAAAAAAAATATCATGTTATGGAATTAGAAAAATCCCATTCCAGAATCCCGAAATCCCATTCCAGGAGCCAAAATTCCATTCCACGACAAAAAAAATCCCATTCCGGAATCCCAAAATCCCATTCCAGGATAAAAAATCCCATTCCAAGAGCCAAAATCCCATTCCAGGAGCCAAAATCCCATTCCAGGATAAAAAATCCCATTCCAGGATAAAAAATCCCATTCCAGAATCCCAAAATCCCATTCCAGGATAAAAAATCCCATTCCGGAATCCCAAAATCCCATTCCGGAATCCCAAAATCCCATTCCAGGATAAAAAATCCCATTCCAGGATAAAAAATCCCATTCCAGGATCCCAAAATCCCATTCCAGGATCAAAAATCCCATTCCAGAATCCCAAAATCCCATTCCAGGATCCCAAAATCCCATTCCGGAATCCCAAAATCCCATTCCAGGATCCCAAAATCCCATTCCAGGAGCCAAAATCCCATTCCAGGATAAAAAATCCCATTCCAGGATAAAAAATCCCATTCTAGAATCCCAAAATCCCATTCCAGGATAAAAAATCCCATTCTAGAATCCCAAAATCCCATTCC